AGGGCAAAGGCGATTTTACATTTTTCTGACAGTACTGAAACTTATGATAAAAAATTATAGGCTTACAATCTCAAAGAATATTTGAAGAATAGATTACAAGCATTCAATATCTGCCATTATTTACTTTTTTACTTATACTTAATAGTTGAACAAACCTCTGACTATGGGCATTTTCTTTGTATTCAGCCAATCACAAAAAAGAAACAGAGGTGGAAAACATGTGAGTGCAGGAGATACTAAATCTAAAGACTGTATATTTACAGTGATTCATATATATTTATTATATAAAAGACAGATAAAATGTGTACCAAATGATGCTACAGAAATCAGTTGATCCTGAAAGAATCAAATGAACAGATTCAATTAAAAAATTAACATTGATTTGCATAAAATTTTATTTGAAATTTTGATGCTTTGAAAAACAGATTTTATTTAGTTACAAAAATATGCAATGTTGTGTGTAGGACATTGTCTTGTGTACAGTACTTACAGAATTACATAAAACAATGTATTACATGTACTTAAAATAGTTTTTTTTTTTGCTTCCATTGTTTTCTGTATGATATGTCATAATAGTCTTAATATCATGGCACTACTTTCTTATAAGGTAATTGAATATATGATTCTTGTACCTCAAGACAAACTACTAAGGTACTGCAGAATATCCGAGTTTCAATGCGACTTGTTCAGTTCATGAGAAATAATGCTTTTTAATAATAAATTGCTATAATAAAAATAACATTAAGAAAAGAAAAGTGATTACATGTATGATGAAACAACAGCTGATGCTTTCACTATATTTCAGTGTGCACTAATGTATAGCCTAAAGTAATCTCACAACTAGTCTAAGCTTCTCTCACACTATATTTTTAGATATACTTTATACAATACACTTACTATAATAAAAGTCAACTACCATGGAACTTTCAGAGTGATTAACTTTTTGAAGTTTTTCATTTTCAATTTCAATCTTCTCTCAATTTATTCTCATTTAATATCACACATTGATGACAAACTTATTAGTATTTACTTACATGTAACTATGTAATGTATTACGGCACTGACAAATAGATGTAAAAAGAGTATGATTACATAAGCAGGAAGCAAGTATGAAATTAATGGTATTTTGACTGTTGTGTGAACTTGCATACATACATATGCCAATGGGAAAAAAGTACAAGCAAAATCACTTACCAAAAGTGCTAAGCAAGCTATGGCACAAAATGAAAACCTGGTATCCACTTCACCTATGAAAAACAAACAAACTTTATTAGCATATTTTTAAGGTTGTAGTTTTGCCCTAAATCTGTAGACACTACATTTTTACTTTTTTACACACATATTGGATCTTGTTAGAAAAGCAAGATAGGTAATCCTTGAAATATAATTGATAATATATTTTTTAATATAATTAAAAAAAGAATTTCAATTTTACAAGTCTTTGTAGCATGGATAACAGATAAGGAAGAACATTAAAGAAAATTAGAAAATACATATATTTTAAATTATAAAGTAAAACAAATATTAGGTAAACATGAAGTTTATAACACACATGTGAATTAAATTAATGACCTTCAGTGTAAAATCCTACAAACCATACAACTATTACCATCTCATTCAAGTAACAATGTATTATTAAATCAAGGACTAAATATATAAAATCTCTTAAAAAAACTTCTTCAGGTCTACTGGATTTTTCAAGATCTTCAGTGAACCATGATTAATCAATTCACCAACAAAATATAGAATTATTCCTAGTGAAATTTTTGGTATGTTTCTGTAGTTTTTGTATAATTACATAACAACCTTACGCAAGTAAACTTGAAGATCAGTAATTACATGATAATAATGAACTATGGAAGTTACATCTGCAAGAAATAAATTTCTATAAAGTATTTATTGTGTCACATGTTCATATTTCATAAAGATTACTTTGATGAATCTCTAACATCTCTTTTTCTTTATCATTTTGGAATTCTTTCAGGGTGAAAACTAGTGGGCTGAAATTGACTTTCTGTGATTAGTAAAGGTTTAAGGCATTTGTCTCAGTATCTCTGGCAATGAAACATTCTTTCTAATAGTGGGTAAACTGTAAAACATTCTCTGAATGATGTTAATTACACAATATATTGCTTTCATAAAATAGTTAAAGATAAATGATTTTATGTTTTTACTAAATGATTACACTTGCTGACAGTCAATAATTTTTGACTGGCTAGACACAAGGGTTAGTAATATCATGAACAGTGAAAAGATTTAATATATATTTTCTCATGTAACTTTGGAATATAAAATGTTGGCAATTACAAATAATAAGATAACCCACATACACTACTCATATTTAAAAAAAACTCAGTTCGACCATAAGCAGCTACAGTGGAAATAGTGTGTCAGATGAGTTTCCATTACAAGATTTAGCTGTGCCATAAGCAATGGGGGTCTTCAGTGTTCCCTATGAAGACAATACTAACCGTTAATTCCTCTTTATATACTTGTATCAATGTTAAGGCTCAACTGAACTAAAGATATACTCTGAATGAGCTTTAATGTTTTTACTGTTCACGTTTCAAGCTGTAAGAATTACATGACTGCTTTGCTGTTGATGTTGAGTAGCACCTCTTGGCATTTCTTATGCTTGAGATCTAATAGTAAGAGGTAAGAGCAAGCAGTTGGCTCGTGATTGGGTGTGGATATTGTCAAGAGTTTAAGTTTATTAATTTAATTCTTATATGGGTGTCTATAAAACTCAGTCTGAGCTCAATATTAACAAGGAACTCTTACATGAGCATTACAAAATGATTTTTCATAGCAATGATCTAAAACTTGTATAGCATAGAGTTGCCATTATGAGATACAGGCAGGTACATGGCATGATGCTTGACTCAAAATGTTTAATATCCTTTGATAAAAAAAAAAAAAAAAAAGACTCGCCAGTTTGTAAATTTCACTCACTTTGGGCCAAATAGCTGAGTGGATAATTAGAATCTTGGGTATTGTTATGATACAAAGACCCACACATATAAACTGGTAAAATTACTACACAAGTGAGAAATATGTATTTTTTGTGTGTTTCAGAATTTTCTAGGAAAACTACAGTAAAGGCTATCTTCTCATAACTATTCCTAATTTCAAATAGATAAATTAGACAGAGGGTAGCTGGTCAACAGCATCCATTTACTTTTGTTTGATCAAAGAGTGAGCTCTCATAATGCAACCATAGTCCTATGGTTTGTATTATGTTTTTGAAGCAACTGGCCATGAACCTTTAGGTTCATAGTCCAAGGACACTAACCACTGAGCTACAGAGAGGATGTAAGTGGGAAATATGTATGCAAGATAATCAGTTAAATTATTTGATTCAGTTTTTTAATATTGATAAATTAAACTCATCACAGCAATATGATGTATGATCATAATGATTTACTAATTATGAAAAAGTATGTATTAGACCACACTTGTGTATTTGTAAAAATGATTATAATGCATTTCAGAGAACTATTTTTCAAGATGTATATATAATGTGGTGAGCAAAATAATGTCTGTCAGTTTGTTTTTAATTTTCTTTATTTTATGGTTTTTAAAATCATACTCAAGAAAAAGGAGTTTTCATGCAAAATTAAGCACTTACTTTATTTAGCTTTATTTTTGACTAATAATGCAAAATTACTC